GGGGTGGGTGGGCAGCAGGAGCTGATCCATGGCTGGACTGGTGCTGCAGAGCTGGAATTTGGGAGGTTTCTTGTCCAGGTGGCACTGGGCAGTCCCAGTCTGCAGAGTGCTGGGCAGCAGTGGCCAGGCTTAGACAGATCCATTAATGCAATTAAAATTATGCAATATTTATATTGCATAAATGCATTAAAGAGATAGAAAACCTATATAAAATATTATAGTACATATGCAATATATATGCAGTTATATTGCATATCTCTTATATGCAATATAAATGCATATATTTATATGCATTTATTAAAAATGCAATTTAATCCAATTAAAGGATTCCTCTTTTAATCAAGCAGTTACTGACATCCTGTTTTCCTGGGATTTTACCTGCAGAACCTTTCTGCTGGTAGCAGTATTCAGGAGGTGATTCTCACTTGTTCTGTGTCCAGGCTGCTGCTGATCCCGAGGTTTTCCATCAGTGTCCAGCTGTGCTCCTGCTGCTGGGGCTCATCCAGCCCAGGGATGCTCAGCCTGGCCTCTGTTCCCATTTTCCCCTTTCCCTGGGCTCAGTGTCCAGCCCAAGGAGCAGCTCCCAGAGGGATTTCAAAGCTGCCACCTCAGCACCTGCTTTTGGCACCGGCAGGATTTGATCCAAGCAAACCCTGCTGGAGTCTGACAAACTGTGCATTCCAAGCCAGGCTTTGGAATGGTGTGTGACTTTGGGAAGGAGCATGGATGGTTTGGGTTGGAAAGAGCTGCTGGTTTGTGTGGTGGGAAGGAAGATGCAGAGTTGGTGGCTGCCGGGGCTCAGCTCATCATTCACAATTCCTCTCCTGCCCAGCCTTGCCAGGGGAGCACAGTGTGGTGTTTTGGGAGGAGCCAGGTGGATGCACAGGGTGGGACATCCCATTCCTCACCCCCTGCTTGGCTCCAGCCCCTTCCCCAGCACGAGGAGCAAACCTCCTCCTCATCCTCATCCTTTATTTTTAATGTTAGCCCCGTTCCTCCCATTTCAATGTGGATGTTGTAATTACAGAGCACAGAATCCCAGCTTTTAGAGCTCTGTGACCACAAGAAAGTGAATCCAGAAACCAGACTGGTTTCATTTGCTCCCATTCCAGCTGATTTCCTCCCCCCACCATGGCTGTGCAGTGCTGAAGGCTTGGCAGAGACTAAAACCAGCTGTCAAAAAGGTTTCTTACCCCCACACTTTTAAGTTAATGATGTTCTGAAATTAATGGCGCACCAGACTAATCCTGGATCTCATTTTGATGGATTTTGCCAGGGATGTTTCCCAACTGGGCTGGGGAAGTGAATCCCCAGGTCCCAGGGAAAAAAGAGAGGGGTGTTTTTCCATCCTAAGTGTTTACAGCTTTAATTTGGTTGGTATATTGTGGTTTTCCAACAAGCTTTCAGTAACTTTTGGAAGCTGTGGATGAGCTTTTCCACTGCTCAGAGCCAGGGAAGTGGCAGTGTCTGGGTGTCCCCTTGCTCTGGAAGTGGCTGCGGGCACAGGAGAGGCTCCAGCCTTGGCACAGGGGGGGAAAGCTGAACGAGCTGAGTTGGATTAGCTGAGGGAAAATCAAAAAAGCTAATTAAGTTAATTAGCTGAGGGAAAGGAGACAGAGATAAGGTGTGTGAAAAAGCAGAGAGGTTGGAACCCTGGCACAGAGGGGTTGTGGAGTCATCCCTGGAAGTGTCCCTGGACAGGGCTGGGAGCACCTGGGACAGTGCGAGGTGGCCCTGCCATGGCAGGGGTGGCACTGGGTGGGCTTTGGGCTCTTTCCAACCCAAACCATCCCAGGATTCTGCTCTCTGCCCTGTCTCCCTGGGGACAGGACAAGGAGCTGCTGGTTTGTGTGGTGGGAAGGAAGATCCAGGTCAGGCTTAAGGAAAAGCCTCCTAAATGTCCACGTGGAATAACCTCAGGCTGGATGCTTGGAGAGGGAGGGGAAATCTCAGTTTCTGGCTGAGGTGATTCTCTCACAGTCCTATCCTGGGACAGGTGCATTTCCCACATTTCCTGTACTTCCACGGCTTAACCCTTTAACACCCTGCTGGATTTGTGGCAGGTGCCTCATGCAGCTTTCCCTGTCACTGGAATTTCGGAAGGAAGCTCCTTTTGGTTGCCTGCTGTGCCCTGGGGCTGCTCCAGGGTAGATGATCCTCTGGGATATGGAGATCCATCCCTCCCTGCCAGAGGGAAGGCCTGCAGAGTTAAAATGCCACATTCCCAACCTTCCCAGGGATGGGATCCCTCACAGTGGAGCTCCCCACCTTGTGGAGACCTCCTGGAAACCTCCTTTTGGGGACCAAATCCTGGTGCAGAATAGAAAATATGCCTGTACCTAGTAACTTTTCCCTGTTAATGTTTCCAGTTAATGATGTTCTGAAATGAATGGTGCACCGGACTAACCCTGGATCTCATTTTGATGGATTTTGCCAGGGATGTTTCCCAGCTGGGCTGGGGAATCCCCAGGTCCCAGGGGGAAAAAAAAGAAAAAAAGGTGTTTTTCCATCCTGGAAATCTCCTTTTGGGTACTAAATCCTGGTGGAGAATGGAAAATATGCCTGTAGCCAGTAACTTTTCCCTCATCCCAAGCTCCAGAGCCCAGGGAAGGAGAGGGATCTGTGGTGGAATCATCAAAGTTGCCATCTGGGATCACTTCCCATGGGGATGTTCTCTGTGGGGAGCAGCAGTGGGAGCTGTTAACAGCAGCTGCAGATTTAGGGATGAGCAGGGGATTCTCCTGCCTGTGGGAATTCAGCTGGAAGGAGCTGGTGGTGCTGGGCACAGCTGGGGTGGAGCTGGTTTTATTCTGTTTTTAGTACAAATTCAGCTGGATTTTCCTCAGAACATCCAATTTATAGATGCAAAACAAACAGTTTATAGATGTAAAGGTAAAATCTGCCTGGCTTATCCTATTTTTAATGGACTCTGTTTAGAATATTATTTTGGGAATGTTTTAGAGGTTTAGAGACTCCTGTCCCAAACAAGCCCTGCATTAAATAACCTGAGCAGCTCTGGGGCAGCTGAGTGGAGAAGGAAATGTGAATTTCTGGGACAAGTCTGGCTGATGAGCTCCTTCTCCAGCAAACAAAACCCATCACTGCCCATGCAGGAAAAAAGGAATTCCCTGGAAAAGGTGGCATTTTGTGTTTGGGGGAGAATTTCTGCTCCCTGGAAGGTTTTGCAGAGCCGTGTGCTCAAACCCCTGACAGCAGGATGTGTTTTCCTTGGGAATGATGGGGTTCAAAGCAGGTTTTGCTCTCAGTTTTTACTTTCCAGGAATATACTGAAGCTAGGATGAATCATCAGGACAAGGTGGTGAAAACAATTTTAACTGAAATATTAAATGATGTTTATGATTCCCAGCTGATCCAGGCTAAGTGGGACATGGATTTTCCTCCCCTGACAAGTCAGGGCTAAAAATGTTGTCTCTTCCAGCAGAAAACAGCCATGACATCATTTTTAATAGGATTTATGCAATCCAAGTGGAATACACTTTGAATCAGCAGAATTTCTGCATTTGACAACGTGCAGATCAAAAGTTCTGCTGGTGAAATTTACCCCCAGGCCTGCAAAATTAAATCCATGTTTTTCCTTATTATCTGTTGGGAATGTTTCAAATACCAAAATGTGAGAAAAAAAAAAAAGACACATTTTTAAATAAATACTTCTGTTAACTCGTTATAGCCACCTTGAAAAGGAAAACTGGTGATTAAATTCTAAACCCCAGCCTGAAATCTGTGGGAATTGGGTACCTGCCCTGCTTGTACCTATTAAAATCTAAGAAATCCCTGCAAGAATTCCTGCTGCTTTTATGGATTCAGAGTGGGCCATTTGGTTTGGTTTCCTTGGCGTTGGTCTCGCAGGCTTCTTCAGAGAAATAAATCCACAAGTGTTTGCCTGTCATCACATGACGGGGCCGGGAGCCTGGATTGATGTAATCAGCACCAGACACACGTCAGAAAACTTCATGTGGTTCAGCAAAATACAATATTTCATTAATTCCTCATTTGGGGGTGTGTTTTAAATGAGCCTCAGGGGGTTCTTAGCTTGTGCCAAGAAATGAGAATGGCTCCTGTGAGTTGGTGTTGGGCAGCACCAGGGGCGGGGTGGAGATCAGCAAAGTGAGGTTCCCTTCGTGACAAATAACTTCATAAAAAGCTGCTTTTATTATTCATTAAATTACAAATTGTCCTGCTTCTTTTTTCTCTTTATGCATCAGTAGATCTGCAGGAAGTTGTTGTTAAATATGGTGTGAAGTATTGAGGTTGATTAGTTCAAAAACCCATCAATGATGAGTATAAAATGCAACTTATTCAGGATATTTTCAGTCGTAGCAAATCCTTCTAAAAATCTTTGAAACCTGCTGTGTTTCTTAGTATTGGGGTTAGGGTTTTTTTGGGGTTAGTGTAATGTGCTGCAAATACAAATAAATAAATACAAATAAATACAAATACATATCAATAAATACAAATACATATAAATAATACAAATAAATAAATACAAATACATATAAATAAATACAAATACAGATAAATAATACAAATAAATAAATACAAATACATAGAAGTAAATACAAATTCCTGATGTGGGATTGAAGCCATACTGGGAATAAACACAATTTGAAGAACAGCATCCTGAACTTGCTCAGCTTTGGGATTAAAAGTCAGTTTTAATCAGAATTGATAATTTTACAGAAAATCACCTGAAGGGAATTGCAGTGGGAAAGCAGGAGCAGCCATTCTGTGTCACAGGGGCAATTCTTGGAGTGCTGAGCAGCCTAAAAATTGAGGAATTTTCTCCTCTTCCATTTCCACACAGCAGCATTTTCCCATTTTTGGTACATTTTATGCAATTCAGGACTTTTCTCTACTCCCTGACAGCATTTTGAAACTCCAGATGTTGGAAGTGAGAAACCAAACCAACACAAGACGTCGTTCCCTTGAATTTCTCAACCCCAATTTTAATTCTTTTGCTTTCTCTTCATTTTGTTTTGCAGGTATTCCTTTGGTAAGTGACTAAAAATGAGCCAAAAGCTGCAGTAATATTTTGTTGATGCATTTGTGGGTATGTAGCTTTTCCATTTTTCCAGCTTGTCTTGCTTTTCCTCTGGCATGTTTAAATTTTTTTCTTTTTTCTCTTTTGCTGGCATATTTAAATTTTGATTTTTTTTTTTTTAATTTAAGTGTATTTTTATTAAGTTTATTTTTTTTAATTAAGCTTTTGATTACATTTCATTGCATTTCTTTCTGCTCATGTGCCCTTAAAGAAAGGAAATTCTGTAAATTGAGGCTGAGGAGAGTTGGTGGAAGGGTTGTCTTTGAGAGGAAGGGAATGAAGGACATTCCTGGGAGGGAATCTCCTCCCAAATTCCCTTTCCACAGGTGATTTGGATATCAGGAACTTCTTTATTCCTATCATGGCCTTTTCCCTGGGATGAGCTGCAGGTGTTGCTCTCTTGGAGGCTGGATTTTTTTTTTTCCCAGTTGGATTTTTCTGCAGTTTTCCAACCCATTCTTAAATGGAAGATTACAAATCCTGCTGGAAGCATTCCTCTCTCTGGAAATATTTGGAAAACTGCTGCTTTTCTGGGAATTGCTGCCATGGAATAACACCTTAAATCAGCCTCTTTGGCTGTGTTTTCTCCCTTCAGGAATGCCATGGGATGGGTGGGTGGAGAAGGACTCTGGATCGTGGCTGGAAATGGGATTTGTGTTCCCAGCTTGTCCCAGATGGAATCTGGTCACTCAGAAAGAATGGTCCAATCCCATTTGTGTGTTCCAGGGAGGTTTGCTCCCTTTTCCTTCTGGGAATTGCAGCTGTCTCCTCATTCCCAATGGAATGTTCTGGAATTCAGGTTGCTCTTTGAACTGTCTGAGGGATTCTGGGGGTGCTGAGGTGGAGACCAGAACGTGGAGAACTCTCCATTCTGCTCCATGAAGCATTCCAGATAATTCTTCCCTGCTAAACGTGGATATTTAATCCAGGACAACACAAACCCAGAGGACTGGCCTGGAGCTGCTCATCCTCTGGGTGTGTTGCTGATGGGTGTAGAAAAATGGTTTGTTTTTGTTGGTTTTCAATTGGTGTTTCATATTTTTTTGTGTCCCAAGTGGAGATCCCCCTCCAAGGAGCCCTTTGTACGCAGTGGGGTCTCTCCCTTCCCCGTTTTTGGCGTGAGGGCTCCTTCGGAATGAGATGAAGGAGATGTAAATCTGCAGTTCCTTTTGTCAGAATACAGGAAAACCACAATATTTTTGTTATAATATAGCTGAAACAACAACATTGTCATCCATTGCTGGGACAGTACATTAAATATTGCTGAGCTCTGGAAGCCTCATTCTTTGGGAGCATCTACTTCAAAGCAAGATCCTAAAAAAAAATAAAATTTCCTGGAGAGTTCTTTGTAAGTGCTGACTGTTTCCTATCCCCCTCCAGGAAGTGTGGAGGTTTTTTTTTTTTCCTACATCTCAGGATGGATTTTGGTAGCCTCTGTTCAATCTCCAGGCTGTCCCTGTGAATTTTAAAGAACTCCAGAGCCTGGAAATAACAACAAGCTGTGGGATGGACTGGTATTGCCACAGGCTTTGCTCTTTGCTCTTAGTCCTGGTGGGGAAAAGTGATTAAAAATCATACTCACCAAAGGGAAGGAGCTGGGAACCAGGAATGCAGAGCCCCAGGCTGGGCTGTTCATCCCTGGAGGCTGAGGAGCTGCTCTGGCATGCAGATCCTGGAGTGGGCATCAGCCAGGCCTGGAATCAGCTGAGCTGGGATCACTTTAGGCTTGGTTTATTGGTGCTCTGATGTAAACCTGGCTTTGGAGCCAGCAGGGTGCCCTCAGTGAGGGGTGGAGGTGGCACCTGGGTCCTTCCTGTGGATGGACACAGATCCAGATCCCCTTTTCCTCCTTATTTTTGGAAAGGCACAGTTCTGGTGAGGCTGGATTTTTGGGATGGATGGATGGATGGATGGATGGATGGATGGATGGATGGATGGATGGATGGATGGATGTGCTGCCTGCCCTCCCTGGAGCACAGCTGCAGGACCAGGCTGCTCCTCCAGAGCTTTCCTGGCTTCCCCATCCTCAGCCTAAATCTCCTCCTGGAGTTCTGCTGTTCCAAGGCCTTTCCCTCGTGTTCTCCCTGCTGGAACCCCTGTCCTGGTGGCCTGGCCTGGCTCAGCTCTGCCTCCCTCTCCAGGTTCCCCCTGTGCTGCTGGGATTAGAAAGAGCCCCCAGGGCAAATTTCTGCTTTATCCTTCCTGAAAATTCAGGAGCTGTGTTCTCCTGGCTTGGAATGAGACCAGAACTGCCTCGCCAGGTCTGTGGTGGTGCCACCTTTGCTGATTCTGGCCCTGGGTCCTCTCCTGGAGCAGGAGGAAGCTTCAGCCTGAGATACCCCAAGGACTCCTGTTTTTTCCCAGTGAAAATCTGATTCCACGTGGGGATTTATTATCCCTACACTAGCAGAGGCTTGGAAAAGGTGCTGCTCCTTTCCAGGATTTCTTTTTCTGCTCTGCCTTCTGGTTTTAAGGAGCCTCCAGATATTCAGAAGAAAGTTTGAGAGTCCCGAGTCTGTCTTGGTCAAAAAAAGGTGGCACTGGGGAGTTAAAAGCAGGAAAACTGCAAGGATGGAATGAGTTGTGGTGGATCTGTGTAGAGAAAATCCAGGGAAAATGAGGTCACTGTCCAGAGAGATCCTGAATTATCCCAGTGGTTATAGGACGCCTGTTCCCAGCCAGGAAAGGCAGGAATGCACTGCTGCCCTCGTGGCTATCAATGGGATCATTAAACAGAAGGGATGGAGGAGCAGCTGATCCCATTTGACTCCTGATGCTCCAAAGTGTCCTGTTTGGAGCCAAAGCAAATGTTTCCTTAGGGATCATTCCAGAGAGCCTGGCTCCTGCACTCCTTGCAGGCCAGAATTAGAAGCACATTTTAAAAGCAAAAATAATTTTTTTTTCTTCCCCTCTCTCTCCCAGTAAACTTCCTTGTTAATTTTGGTGTGGAGAAAAGACAATCCCTGAACAAACTCTGGAGGTTTTTGCCATTATCTGTAAACATGGAATGAGCAAATAACTGAGTTCCTACCCAAAATGCCCCCCAATTTGATATTGCATCTATTAGCTCAGAATTTGAGCTGAAGTGTGTTTTGATTAGAAGTAGAATAAAAAGTTGAGAGCCGAGTATTTGTAATTCTCCATCACTTGTTAAATCCTCACTCTTTGCTTCAATGCAAATTGTTCCAAGGAGGATTTTCTTTTAAAAGGTCTTCAGGGATCTCGAATTTTAGATGTGCATTGACATAAAATTAAATGTTCGAGTGCACAGCTGGGGTTCTGGGTGAGATGGAGGAGATGTTTCTGCTCTGTGAGTGTTCCCAGGGAAGGGGGGAAGTTTTCCTGTGGCTGCACCAGCCTGGAGAGCAGCTCTGTGGTCGTGGAGGAAAATGAAAGGAAAATGAAACAATTGAGGTCAAACTTCACGGGTGCAGGTCCAAAGCTTGGCTTTAGGTGGGGATGGGCTGAGCTGTGCTCAGAGCTGAGCTGGAGATTGCTGCAGACCCCTCTGCAGCGGGGGAGGCAGCCCAGGAGAATTCCCTGGCAGAGAAGCTGTGGCTGCTCCATCCCTGGAAGAGTCCAAGGCCAGGCTGGAGGAGACCTGGGATAGTGGGAAACTGCCCATGGCAGGGGGTACAGCTGGACCAGCCTAAAGCTCCCTAAAGCCAGGTCCAGGGTGGGATTCTGTGTGTTCCACGTGGCAGCACAGACTCCCCAAGCTCTGCTGGTGTGGGGAGACCCTGGAGCAGGATGTGGGGTTGGGCTGCTCCATGTTATTCCCAGAGAACTCTGCTCCATTCCCAGCAGGACACCCTGGATCCCAGAGCCTCTGGCAATGGCTGGGCACAATTATGGGCTGCTCTTTATTCACCCCCCACACCAGGATGGGAGGGCTGGAGCTGCTTCCCAACCATTCCTGCCTAATATTGGGATCTGCTGTTCCTATTGCTGCTGTAAGAGTGGGAAACTTTTCTCTCTGTCTTATTAAATCTATTTTTCAAGCTGTCACTTAAGCAGGTCTAGTGACAGAGTCGGATGTTTATGTGGCCCTGGACACTTGAACTCTGGTGTTTTCAATCACAACAGCACCTTTTGCCAGCCGGTCTGAATTAAAAACTCCCCCTGACCTTTTACCCCCGGCCCTCTTAAATTCATGCTTTAAAAACAGCTTAATGAGGGGTTTACTGGCCCAATTGGAAGTTTTTATTAAAACCTATTAGTGAGCTGGAGTAGCCTGCCTGAAGGAAACGATTAGGCCGGAGCAGCTCAGCTCAGAGCTGGCCCTTAGCCACTCCAGGTTTTCCCTAAACTGCTTCCAGACCCACGTTAACCCCAGTGCTGCAGCCTGCACGGAATTCATATCCTCTGCTTTAATTTATGCCTTGTCTCATTCCCTGCCCAGCCTCGCCCCTGCTTGGGTTTAATGTTGTTAGGCCTGCATTAAAGGGCAGCAGGGCCTTGGCTTGTTTGGGACCCCGGTGGTTGTTATCTGCTGTCAGGAGAGCATGAGCTTGTGGCTGGGAACACTGAGTAAGGAGGGCCAGAAGCCACACTACCTCTCTTTGGTTCTCATTTCTTCCCAGGACATTCCCTGTTTGGCACGGAGAGCTGCTGCCCGTTCCCTTGTGTGCTAAGCCTTGTGTTGGGCTCTTCCCAGCAGAACTGGAAACAAGGTTTTGGTTCAGGGCCTGTAAAGTGGGGCTGGGAAATATTTCCAGGGGAAAAACTAAAGATGTCAGCCTCAGAGTGACGAAAACACTATTACTTCCCCCTGTGTAGGGGAAGAGTTCCCCCAAATCTTCTGCTGCCCCAGGGAGGAGGTGTGGAGCCTCGATGCTCCCGTGCTCCTGGGGAAGCTTTCCATGAGGAACATCCCAGCACGATGCAGCTGGAGATGCACTGGTGGAGCAGCCAGAGTTTGAGGTGAAATTGGGTTTTCTGGAGGACACAGG